TCCCCAGTCATATTTGGGATTCAAGGAGTTCAGTCAGGATCGTTTGGTTTTCCAGAGGAGATAGTAAGGAATGATTTCGAGGATGAAATCTAATTTAAGTGGTTGAGAGTTGTAAAACCCTATTTTGGATCAATCTGTGATACGGGACCCGTGGGCCGTAAATCAATTATGTGAAGACTTTGGGGCTTTGAGAATGTAAAGTTTAGGCCTTATTGAAGGTTGACGAGTTTGGTTGTGAGATCTAAGCCCTTGAATCGTAAGTAGGAACCAAGGGTGAACTGGGGAAGGATAGGTGTTAGATTGCATGTAAGGATTATGGTTTGAGTTCGACTTGTGTTAAGCCAAATTTAACAAGATAGGGTTGTAGAGATCTTCCAGACCTTTCCGTAGGTATAAAGAATGCCGAAATCGAGTTGGAACGAAGAAGTTATGGCCGTTTGAAGTTTAGAGGGGAATGATGAATTAGCAGTACATGGGGAGTACACACGACATACTTCATTAAATGAATCGCAAGACTTTACCAAGTACGTTGGGCATACATATATTATGTTGCGTGTAATTACACATAATGCAAACCCTACTTTTTAATGTTGGAGCCCTATTTAAGCAACTTAACTTCTGGAAACGCTATCCATATTCAACCTTTATATCTCCAAAGCATCATCTCGAAACTCTAGCCCCATTTTTTAAGACTTTGAGCCTCTTGAGCGTTTTTAAGCGTTTTTGGTACATATTGAAGAAGAAGAAGTCCACCATTGAAGCTTGGTGAAGCTCAAGCTTTTGGATCTTGAACTGACTTGTCATTCCTTAACCTTAGAAGGTATAAATATTAAATCTCTCTCACTCATTTCACTAGATATAGATTGGGCTCATGTTTTGGTTATGTCTTGGTCCCATGGCTTGGATCTTGTGAGTAGAAGTTACTCCAGATCCTTTGAGCATCATTTCTAGTCATTTTGAGGCTATCAAGTCATAAAAATCGGATCTGGGGGGTTGTAGTTCACCGATGCATGAGTTGTTGATCTTTTTATGAAGTTATGGACCTAGGGCTAGGTTATGGGCTCCAGTAAGTCATGAAAAAGCTTAAAGTTGTCAACTTTTCCAGTTAAGACCTTTTTAGGAGTTATATCTGAGTATTGGACGAGTTGTCTTACAAGATTAAGCACCCAAAAATGGAGTTTAGACATCAGCGAGTTATGCTGGGCGTACCATCTTGGTACAAAGCACGTAACGGGAATGCCCCGAATTTCCTTTCTGTCAAAGCTGAGTACACGGGGCGTAATGGGTGGGTACGCATGGCGTACTCACTAGAATCCATTTGGGCCACTTTTGGGCTATGGGACATTCTGGGTTTGGGCCATGGTTAGGTGGGTCAAGTAAGGGAAGGGTAAAATTGTATTTTACCCTTGGCATGATAGAATATAATATGGACCCTTGTTTATGGATAATTGCCATAACTGTTAATCAAGGTCATTTTGGTTATGATTATTGTGAGGAGCATTCACATCGGCAACTCGTGTGCGTTTGCGTGATTGATTAGCATTGGATTGAGATAAGTCCTCTCACTATACTTGCCTGTGTGGTACTATATACTTGCTGAACATTTGGGTCTTATTTGTTGTTACTATGATATATGTTAGTATGTGTACTAAGACTTCGGGTAGTCTCCAAGGTTGCTGATAACCCACTGGGCGTGTTGTTTGCTTGTTAAGACTTCGAGTCGTCTCCAGGGTTGCTGATAACCCATAGTTGTTATATGTGTTGCGTTGTAAGTGGTATTTTTGGGAACTCACTAAGCTTTTTGCTTACAATTTGTGATTTAAATCGTTTCAGGTTTTCTTATATCAAAGGAGGGGCACTACTTGATTGTATCGCATCCATGGGAGATTTATGCACACGCTAGCTTTCGACGACACTCTGATAAGTGTTTTTAGTAAAATGGTTTTATCTAAGATGTTCGTAGTTGTAAATTGTATAAACACTTAAATTTTTAATTGAAAAAATTGGGTTGAATTTTGAGGCGTTACATGGGTTCTTGTCTTAGATCAAGTCAAGGGTTGTGTGAGGGCCTCTTTGCATGTTCTTGTCTAATTAAGGCTTTGGGGTTGGAAGCATGATCTACGCGCCTGATAGGGTCTAGTAGACTAAGGTTCCGACTCGTTTTGATTTTGGTTGGGTAATCTTTATGGATTGTTGGCAAGACCATGAGGCGGACCCATGGCAATATCTGGAGTGTTGTAGAACCACGAACTGGTCATAGCATTCAATGGGATATGTTAGGCCGTAGCGATGGTGATTGTAAGACTGTGGGAGGATCACAACATTCGCTTGGGTCGAGTCGAACCCATCACTCTTGTTATCCACTCCTTGTTGGGCATGAGGGATGTGAGAGTTGTGGCTATGTTTAAGCTTATATAACTCTTGATTTTGGGCGAGGACCGTTTGGTTATGTTAGCTTGGGTGAGACCTATGGGCGAGGCCCATTTGGTTATGTTATCTCGAGGGATACCCGTGGGCAAGGCCTATTCGGTTATGTTATCTTGGGTAAGGCTTGGGCGTTAGATATTTTTTATGTGGATAGGTTTGTTTGGGGTTTTCACATGGTTGGCAAGGTTAGGGAGGCCTTGGACGAATCAGAGTTGTGAGTTTCTAGCATGCATGGTTTAGGGATTTTAAGACTCAAATGGGGATGTAGCTCTCTTTGATATTAGTTACCTGTAATGGCATTCGTTCATTGTTGGGTATTCAGCTGCATTTCAGTTTAACATATCACCCCCAAATCGATGCATAGAGTAAGCGGACCTTTCTTACGCTCGAGGTTATGCTCAGCGCATGTGGTGATGGTTGTGAGTCTTCAGGTCAGTGATGGAATGATGGCAAGATCAATGTGCCCCGTGATCTTATCATTCTAGTGGATTAGATGGTGTCACGATGTATTGTTAGCTAGTGAGTGTATGACTCATGTAGGTGGGACCCGATAGTCATATGTTTGAGACTCTTTGGTCTCAGATCATTAACGTGTGGCATGGTTAGGTGTTAGAACATTTTTGGGGGTTGGGATGCTCAGTGATGGTTTGGGCCCTATATGAGGGTAGGGGTCGTTGTTATCTATGGCTATGTGGTATTTTGGGGAACTCACTAAGCTTTGTACTTACAGTTTGTGGTTTAAACATTTTCATGTACTTCCAGTTCCAAAAGGGAAGAGCCCGGCTTGACTGCACACCATTCCCTAATGACTTTACGTATTAATTGTTATTGTTTACTCTGATGTTTGAAAGATACATTTTACTCTGATTGGTTTTGGAACAAAAGGTCGTATGGGCTTGATGGTTTAAAAATGAAAATTTATTGGAATTTTTGGGATGTTACATCTAGCGGGGAATCTTTTTTCAATTTACTAATTGAGAGAAGATTCTTCGTGAGGTGTGGAACCACAAGTACATCCAATAAGTGAATATCTTTTGAGAGCTTAGATTTACCAATATGGGAAATAGGAGAAACATTACCATTACTAAAGACGAATTGGTCGTTTCCCAATTACGAGGATAATGTATCAAGATTTGCGTTTGAAGATGTCATGTGTGAAGAGGTGCCATAATCAACATACCAATCAGGTGATTCGAGACTAACACTAAATTTAGTATGGAAAGATTGAGAAAAGAAGCATTTGAATTAGAACGTTATGGAGCAAAAGTGTGAAGATATGGACATGAGTCAGTGAAGTGATCGTTCTTCCGATATAGCTGATAGTGTCGTGGTCGACGACCTGGACCACGACCACCAGAAATGGAACCCTGACCATGATTGTGTCTAATAGTAAAACCATCACGAGAAGAAGTTGTTAATTAAGGAGAGTCCCGATGAGCTGTAAAAGCAGCAATAGGAGGAGATGAGTTATGTATTGCTGTAATAAAAGCTCATGGCTTTCAGGTTGGGAAAGAAGCTCACGAAATGATGGGCGTGGTTTAATTTCTCAATGTGTGGTAGAGGAGGTTTCAAAGGAAAGCCCGAGACCACATAAGAACCAATGAGTTTTGTCAAACTCAACAACCGGATGACCAATTGTAGAGAGTTGGTGACATAGGGCTTTGAATTTTCGACCAAATTCAGAAACTGTTGAGGATCCTTTTTGAAGTTGTCGCAGGGTGTCTTTGAGTGTTTGCATACACTCTTGAGAGTTATGGTGATAAGCAACTTCAAGATCTTGCCAAACTTCATGTGTTGTTGTGAGACCGAGGATCTCTGCCATGGCTCTCTCAGATAATGAGGAGTAGAGAATGAGGAAGGCACGTTGATCAGCTTCAAGCCATTTAGCATAATCATAGTGCAGAGAAGACAGACCAAGATGGAGAAGAAATTGAGTCTTCTATATAACATGATAACTTCTTATATGCAAGAAGAGGTAGTAATTGATTTCACCAGAGAAGGTAATTGGTAGATGATAGCTTGATAGTGATCATGTGCAGGACAGTTGCAAGTGGAAGAGAAGCATATGTGGAAGAGGAAGAAGAAGCATTGTCACCAACCATTATAGAGAGGGAAACCATGAGGTGATCGAAACCCTAGCTGATACAATATAAAACTTACACAATTTGCCTTAAAATATGTTGTATATTACGTGATGTATTGCATGATGTATTTATAAAACATGATATACATAAGATTTACATTAAAATAAGATAAAAACTAAAATATATACATAAGATTTACATTGAAATAAGATAACAACTTAAATATCCAAAATATCAACAGTTATCTCTAATAACCTTATTATTTAGGCTATCATAAGAATACCAAAATTTTAGCTTAAACAGTAAACGAGAATGACCGACAAATTGTCACGAACTAATAAATCTATCTACAAAATGAATTGTTGAATCAATGGATTAAAACGAAACAACTTTTACGATAAACTTTGGGAGGGATCGAATGGTCCAATTTACACATAAATAAAAGAATGAAACCCAAATACGTACCAACTTAACATCCTACTCAAAATACTAATGTACTACATTGTTGAAAGAATTTGCTTTCCTTAGAAATCTAATCATAACGATTATCACAATTACCAACATCTTTAGTCGCTTGATACCATCACCACCCTTCACAATTTTGTTATAATATTTCGGTAAAGGTATTTGAAAATCATCGTCACCATCTTCACTCATATCATGATCATCAAAAACATCTTCCGACTGGTTTTCGACTGCTCCACACAACTCATCTACGATGCTCGTTAGCATCGAAACTCCTCCTTCAACTCTTTCATCTTCTTCATAATCTTCAGAGAACAAATGGGGTGGTGGTGGACCCATCTCCATACGTTCCCATTCCTCGAAATCCATGCCCCACTCATTGTAATCTACGCCAGCCATTGCCAAAGCTTCGATTGATGAATTCGACATGATAATAAGTGATACGATATTTGCACCTGTTTCTACAGTAAAAATTTACATTAGATTATGCTGATATGGAGCTTGATGCATATGCTTATATATGCGGTTCTCTTTGTCCAAGTTTGAAAAAAATTCAAAGTGGAAAAAGTGGAAATCTAAGCACTTTTTAGGGTTGAATGACAAACTTGCTCGTGAATCTTGATCATGTTATTGACCAAGAATCTTGACCATGTTATTGAGCATTAGTATACTCTTTTTCATTGTGAAACCCGTGATTATATGACGTTAATTTGGTTGCTTATGTAAGTACTCTAAAACAAAGAAACCTTGATGCTTAATTAAGAAAACGGATCAACAGGAGGAAAATATAAACCTGGAAGAGGGGATTAACAAACAGGGGACAGAAATATGGAGAGAAGAGGTTACCTGCCAAAGGCTTTTTATTAATAAGCAAAAGAAAGGTACAATAAAAGAAAAACGCAGCTCCTATATTTATATTAAAACTATTAGAAACCTAATGAGACTCAAAAACATTCAAGGAATAAAACTTAAAACTAATAAAAGATAAACTTTCCTATTTTGCCCCTTCAACTAAAGCTGCCTTTTCAAACTCGTATGGATAAAATCAGTTAACCCAACAAGTACAAGTGTTAATGTGAACCCATTACATATCCAGAAGCCCACGAGTATAATCTGCAGTGTACATGTCCAGGAAAGCGCATCAAAAGAAACAAAACCCTCTTTGCAAAGTTCATATTATTTTCAACTTTTGTTCGAATGCATGAATTTCTCTCAAAACTTTGACGCGTTTACGATGTTTCTGTTCAACCTTTGCCTTGAAACTCCATGAACGGGGAGTTGCAGTTGCAGGAAATTAATTAACAACCCACAGAATATTCTCAAGATCAGATGAATTATGCTCTAGGAAATATTATTTTGTAGATGTTTTGAAACCAGTTGTAATATGAATATCTATGATGCGATTGGCGTTTGTGAGAGGAATCGGAAGATGGATGGTATCATGGTGGTTTATTTGATAGATTTTACGGTTATTTCAGGATTTTTCGATTTAAGAGATTTTAAAATTTTGATTTGATTTTGTTTTTTATCACCAATCGCACGAAATCTGGTACTCGTAAAAGAAGTTAAGAAACCGAAATACAAATCAAACCTACTGACATGACCAATCAGATTAATATATATCCTATTCAATCTTCATTATGGTCCAAGAAGATCTTGTAGCTCTTGACTAAAGCTATCAATGTAAGCAGATTGCACATCTTTGTTCAACAGAAACTCCCGTATCTTTTCATGGTTACCTTTCACTTCTTTCCCAGCTTCACCATCTTCATCCATCACCTTCTTCACCGCTTCACATACACCAATTTTCGTAAACAACCCATCTTCTTCTCCTTTCTGTACTTCAATCCCAACCCTATAAACTTCACTCATAATCCTCGCATGTATGACCTGATCACCTCCATGCGGTAGCAGCACCAATCGACATTTGTTAACCAACGCCTCAGACAACGAAGCCCAGCCACAATGCGTAACAAAGCACCCAACAGAACTATGCTGCAAGATTAGGTTTTGCTGAACCCATCCATCATACACCAACCCTCTTCCTTCAAGTCTTTCAAGTAATCCTTCAGGAATCGCGTCGTTTATTGACTTCACACCAACTGGCGACTTAAGTGCTGTCAAGAAAGGCATTCCTGTGAGCTCGAAACCCAGTAAAAGTTCTTGAAACTGATCCATGGTTAGAGTACATTCGCTCCCGAATGCACAGTAAATTACTGAACCAGGGTCGAATCTATCGAGCCAAGTTGAGAGATCTTCGGTTAGAGTGTCGTTTGGTGGATCTGTTACGATAGGGCCGCTGAGTAAAACGGGCTTTTGGAAGTGGGTTTGTAGGTAGTCTCTAAAAAGTCCATCGAGTTCTCTAGATCCATTGTAGGCTAAAGCATCAGCCTGGCTTAATCCGATATATACACGTTCTACAAGACTCATTTCGCCACCAAATGTCATGTTAGATCTAGCCGTGAAGTCGCGTGCTTCGTGTGCGTGGAACTTGATTGACGATAACGGAAAACCAGTTGGAGCATGGATAACGTCGGACTCGCTTATGCCCTAAACAAAAGATATAACATTAACTAAGCATTAAAAATGTGGTAACTTTTCAGTTTCTTGATCATGTTTCAAAGACAAACTTTTACATATTTAGGTTAAAATTTCACTAATTACCTTGTCCCAATGAACTCGTCGTGCGGGTGAGAAGATATAACCAATGACCACCGGAGTAATAACACAATAATTCACAGATTTGATCCTAATTCGGCGACAAAGACTTGGAATCCAGTGAGCCATATCAAAGAAAACAAAGTCCACCATAAGAGCTTGTAGTATACGCTCAACGTTCTCTTGAGTTGCATCCATGGCAGTCATGATGAGGGTGTGTAATGAGGAGGGTACGTCCGAACTTGTCTCAGCACCCATAGGGAGACCTTCAATATGAGGAACCGTGATAGGCACAAAAGTGATGTGGTGTGGATGATGGTTAAATGGGTCAAGTTTATATTGTGTGTTTTTAGGGACCAAGAAGGAGACTTTATGGCCCTTTTTGGCCAACATATTGGCTAAGTGTATGTAAGGTGTAAGGTGGCCTAGAGCAAACCAAGGGTACATTGCAATATGACATTTCTTTTCATCCATATGGTATTAGAATTACTTGTAACTTCACTACATTTTTTTTTCTCATTCATGTTGCGGTATGTACATATATCATGTTTTTCTGCCTAATCACAGTATTACAGGAGATCTTCCAATCAGTTTTCTTGAATGTGTATGTTTGTTGTGACCAGCTTCTTTTGGTTTTAAACACAAAGGTTGTGATCAACAAGTTGGGCAGGCATGGATGCATCCATCAATTAATTTATTGGAGTTTTTATTAACAGAACTATATATTAAAATTTTCAAAATATGTTAACCAACTAAATTGGTTGCTTTATTGACCGAAGTTCATGCATAGTTGTACGATTTTTTATTTTTTATTTTTTTATTTTTTTTATGTAGGTTAGTTTTCAAAAGATATTATAAAAATAAGCTACTTTTTAAATACCCTATAGAAATAAGTTGGTTCGAAGAAAGGCCAATTATATTTATCTTTCTCAATTGTTTTTGTAAAAGAAAATTTATATTTTTATTTTTAACCAGTAATGAATTTAACCTTTCAACTTTTATCTTTTTTATTTATATCTTTTAGGATTGAACAATTTATTTTTTACATTTATTAAATATTATCAAAAATCTCTAGAAAAATCTTAATATTTTAAGAATTTTTTTAAATAAAATCCTAAATTATATATTTTTTAACGGAAATGTCCTAATTATTTAACATTTTTAATAGAAAAACCAAGAAACCTACTAATTTATTCATTTTAGCCATTTTGACTAGTTCAGCAAGTCTTGAGATCAAATCGTTAATTTTTTCAAAATAATAAGAGTATTTATTTTTATTTTTTTTTGCAGATTTTGTCAAAATTTGAATATAATATATAAACATATTTTTTGCGTATTTATATCTATTTTTATGTATTTATGTATTTTTTTAAAGTTTTTATATGTATATGTTTATGTATTTTTGTGTATTTTAAATGTATAATCATATTTTTTACGTATTTATATGTATTTTTAAGTATTATATATATATATATATATATATATATATATATATATATATATATATATATATATCTATATATATATATGTATTTTTATGTGTCATTTTTTTATATATTACGTATTTATATGTATTTTATGTTTTTTGTATTTTCTAATTTTTTATATAGATGTTTATGTATGTTCTATGTATTTTAAATGTATAAACGTATTTTTACGCATTTTTTATGTATTTTTAAGTATTTTACTTATTTTTATGTATTTTTTTTTGTGTTTTTATGTATTACATATTTATATGTTTTTAAGTATTTATGTATTTTTTTAAGTTTTTATATATATGTTTATGTATTTTTATGTATTTTAAATGTATAATCATATTATTTTTACCTATTTACGTATTTTTTACTTCAAGTCGTATTTAATTACCAGTTCATTCAATTCGTACAGTCTTTTCGAATATGTCTAGATGGTTTTCTTGCATACCCACACATTTTATGTTTTCTAATTCGCTTATCTTGAAATTAAACATCAGATTAAAAAATAAAATAATAATTTATGCACATAAGAAAACTTATAATCGATGTTTAATTAACAAATATATATATATATATATATATATATATATATATATATATATATATATATAATTCGATGTTTAATTTCAAGATAAGCGAATGTGAAAAGTTTTAAATAACTACGCATTTAAGAAAACCATCTAGACATACTTAAAGAAGTTGTGCGAATTTGATTAAATGGTGAAGACGACTAATAAAAAAACATATAGGTAAGTAAATAATATGGTTGTATGTTTACACATAAAAATAATGCATAAACATCTAGATAAATAAACTTAAAAAAAATACATAAATATATAAAAATACATGTAAATATGTATTACATAAAAAAGCACATAAAAATGTATGTAAATACTTAAAACAAATACATATAAATATGTAATAAAATACATTTATACGTTTAAAATACATAAAAATATATAAACATCTATATTAAAAACATAAAAAATACATAAATATGTAAAATTACATATAAATACATAATACATAAAAAAATTACATATAAAATACATAAAAATATATAAATATTTAAAAATACATATAAATACGTAAAAAAGTACGTTTATACATTTAAAGTACATATAAATACGTAAAAAATATGTTTATATATTATATACAAATTTTGACGAAATCTATAGAAATGTCTAGTTATTTTGGAAAAATTAACGATTTGGTCTTATGATTTGCTCAACAGGTTAAAATTGGCTAAAGTGAATAAATTAACCGATTTTTTGGGCTTTGTATTCAAACAGTTAAATAGTCGGGATTTTTCTGTTAAAAAAAATAATTTGGGACTTTATTAGAAGAATTCTCAAAATCTTGGGACTCTTTTTTTGGAGATTTCCCTTAAATATTATACATAGATTAATTTATTCCGTAATATATGATTATATCTAATGTATTATTATTTATAATTGTACCTTTAAATGTATCTTATAAATATCTTCAAATAGATACCAATATTTAATATATTAATTCATTATGAAGTTACAAGAACAATTAAAAACGATATACAATATGAATTAAGCGTAAAATTAAAATACAAGTTAAACACTACCTTACATCATTATTTAAAAATGTTACAAAGTTCACATCACATTGAATCTTAGCTAGGAATTTGGACAATTTCTTCTATTATGACCAGGTTGTTGACATAGTCTACATTTACGAGGTTCGCCAGGATAACGGATGTCCATCTCGTTATGAAATCAATTTGCTCGCCTCTGGCCTCGATGCACATAAAAGAGTTATCTTCTTTTATCTTCGAATATGGCTCCAACCAATAATCAACATGAGAAAGTGGGACAAAAGCCTACATATATTATTGTTTATACATCATAGTAGTGTACACAATATTTACAATAGAAAGAGGGTTATCCCAACTGTAACCACAAACTGCAATAGCATGCGAACATGGGGTTCTTTCCAATTGTCACTTACAACATTTGCATTTTTGTTGAAAATAATGGACAGTGCGCACATTTCCTCATTTGAGATTTATTATAACTTTATGACAATTCTGTAGACACATTCATTGTAGTCAAACTCAGTTAATTTATGGCTTTGTGCACAAGTTTCTCGTTTCCGAAAAGGACGACACATACATGATGGTAGAGTTGTATTGCAATTTATTGCAACATCTTTGTAATTTTTAAAATGTTGTTCACTTCTATTGAATCTAATGTCAATACACGCCCTAATTGATACCTTTCTAGCTACTCGAAGTGCACTATTCATACTCTCAGAGATATTTGTTGTCTAGAAACCCCATCGACGATTGTCATCATATAAAAAACACCATTGACCTCTTTTAATTTGCTTTAAATAATGCCAAGCTTCAAGATTGATATATGTAACAAGCTTTCTTCTTTGTATGGTGCTACCAATAGACCAACAAAGCTTTTTAAGACTCACGTTCTGGCACCTTTGCTTGAAATTACTTCAAATGTGTCGAAGACAGACGCGATGGTATGCTAATGCCTCTTTCCATTCTTGTAGATTTTACATTGCATGAGTTAGGCTTTGCTACCCATAAGCGATGGTATTATAATGTGTCGAAGATAGAAGTGATGGTATCCTACAGTCCTATACTTGGTTACCCACAAGTTATGTAACACCCTATTTCGAATCATTTCATCATTCAGGGACATGACACAAAGATCAATTATCATAAGATTTTGGTTGTTGAGGAAAATGAAGTTTAAGCCCATTTAGATGTGGGTGATGTAGATTTTTTGATCCAAGAGTTCGGTTTGTGCTTTGGAGCCCAAGGGTGTAACTGTAAAGTGATGGTTCGGGCCTTTTATGAATTTTGGATTTAAGTTCTGAAAGTTCTAAGGGTAATGAGAGATGACATGATTGTAGAACTTCTAATTACCTTTATGTGGATATCAGGATCGCCGAAAACAGAGTTTGAACGAAGAAGTTATGACCATTTGGAATTATGAGGATTTTAGGCCAGCCAGGAAAGTTGGGCGGTCCCCAGGAACGCTAGGCGTTCGTGGCTGAGTGATCATAAAGGTTCCCTCAGAAACGTTGGGTGTTCCATATGAACGTTGGGCGTTCGCGACTAGAACTCAAACCCTATTTTGGGGTCTTGGACCCTATTTAAAGGCCTTAACTCATTTCTAAACCTCCTTACCTGCAGCCTCCACCCTCTTAAGCTGTTTCCTCAAAACCCTAGCCTCCATTGGATTGATTCTTGAGTTCTTGGTGTGATATTTTATGTTTTGGTGTTCATTGAAGAGGAATGAGCTTCTTAAAGGAGAGTTAGATTGGCTGGAGCTTGTAGATCTAGGCTTGGTTTTCCTTTCTACCTCTTCTACAGGTATAAAGTCTCAATCTTGATGGATCCCTTATATAGATTTATCTTAGGTTATGTTATGAGCATATTTGTTCCCATGAGTTGGTACTTGTGAGTAAAAGCTAATCCATAAGTTTTGGGTTGTCCTTTTTTGATGTTTTTGAGGTCCCTTCTTCATAAAGTTTGCATCTTGATGGTTGTTAACCAACCATGCATGAGTTACTGGCCTTTTTTTGTGAAGTTATGAATCTATGGCTTTGGTTTGGACACCATTAAGTCATGCAAAGTCAGAAATTCAGGAACTTAATGACTTAAGATGTCCCTTAGAATCAGATAGTCGAACTTAAAGTCTTAAGGGATTAAGGCATTTTAAGTGAGTTATTGAACATTTTGATGTGTTAGAAAGCCTAAGTTTAGTGTTGGGCCATTTTTTAAGCCATGCAAAAGCTTAAAGTCTTCGACTTTATGGTTTAAGACCTTATTCTGATGTTGACTTGAAGGTTAGACGTTGTAAGTTTTAGGAGTTAAGTAATTTGGGGTGAGTTTGGCTATCTAACCAGTACGTCGGGTGTACTCCTGATTATACTGTGTGTATTGGGCCCGCACCCCTATTAAGAATCAACCACATATGTTGAGCATACGAGCCAGGTACGTCG